TACATTGCATCATTACATCACTATCTGTCTAACACTAATAAGTTCACTGGATTCACCTCCAACCTGGGAAATCTCATCAGCTTACATTTCTTCATTTTCCATAATTATGGTAAATTATTTTAAACACTGAATTATGAAAAACCTGAAATATCAAAATACAAGTATACAACACTAATCACAACAAAATAATGACCAATGTGCAATTTTTACCAATTACGTAAAACAATAACAACACCGCACAGTTGATATCAGATAATTATATCAACTAACTTTCTCTCTCCTTCCCCGACTATTCATTTTCAAGCAAAATATAATAACATATACATATGACAATGTTGCAGCATTCAGAAACAGAATTTGCAAGAAGTAAATTCATGTCTGTGGCAACCAGGAACAGAATCTGGAATGATGTGAATTTATATCAGCAGTCGCAAATGAGTTAAGTGTTTTCTATAGTCTTACAGCTTTGAGATGTCTTTTTCTCTTGTTTAATTTTTTTTTGAGTTGGAGTCTCACTTTGTCATCCAGACTGGAGTGTAGTGGCTGCTTCTGGCTACCGCAGCCTCGACCTGCTGGGCTCCGGCAATCCTTCCACCTCAGCCTTTCAAGTAGCCGGAATTACAGGCATGCGCCACCATACCCGGCTGATTTTTTGATTTATTGTAGAGATGAGGTCTCGCTGCCCAGGTGGGTCTCGAACCCGTGGGCTCAGGCAATCCACTCACCTCAGCCTCCCAAAGGCGAGGGATTACAGGCTGAGCCACCGAGCCCGGCTTGTTTCATTATTTTTATTCTCTTTCTGTTTCATGCTGGGTAATTTCTGTTAACTCATTTTCATGTTTCTCAGCTGTGTTGGCTACTTATGAGGTCACTGAGGGAATTTTTTGTTTCTGATACTATAGGGTTTTTATTGCTTGTTTGTAGCATTTCCATTTGACTTTTTCTTTTTTTAGAGTTGGAGTCTCACTCTGTCACCCAGACTGGAGTGCTATGGCTGCACCCGGCCACTGCAGCGTCGACCTGCTGAGCTCCGGCGATCCTTCCGCCTCAGCCTTCCAAGTAGCTGGAACTACAGGCGCGCGCTACCACGCCTGGCTATTTTTGATTTTATAGTGGAGATGAGGTCTCACCAAGTTTCCCAGGGAGGTCTTGAACCTGGGCTCAGGCAATCCACTCACCTCGGCCTCCCAAAGTGCTGGGATTACAGGCTGAGCCACTGAGCCCAGCCTGACTTTTTCTTATAGTTTACATCTCTCTGCTGAAATTCCTCATCCTGTCATATATGTTGCCCACATTTCCACTAGATCCTTTAACATAATCATCATGGTTATTTTAAAGTCCTTCTCTGATAGTTCTATCATTTGGAGTTTTTCTGAGTCTGGTCCTATAATCTGTTGATTGCTTTGTTTCTTGACAATAGGTTGTTTTTCATTTCTTGTGCCTCAAAATTTTTTTATTGAATACTGGACATTAGATACAGAATGGTGGTTCTCAACCAGAAGTGATTTTGTTCCCACAATAAAAATTATCTATTCCAAATGTCAATAGTACTGAAGTTGAGAAATCCTGGTGTAGACTAGAGACTGAAGTAAATAGCATTTACACTTAAAAATGGGCATACTTCTTCTGTCAGGCTGTTGTCCTGAGGGTAGTCTGCTACTCCTTGCTCACAGGCTGAAATAAAAAAGCACAGCCGGGCTCGGTGGCTCAGCCTGTAATCCCGCGCCTTTGGGAGACTGAGGTGAGTGGGTTTGAGACCCGCCTGGGCAGCAAGACCTCATCTCTACAATAAATCGAAAAATCAGCCGGGCGTGGTAGCGCATACCTGTAATTCCGGCTACT